GTGTTTAGTTGGTATCAACTTGCCATCTCGACGGATTGAAATTCGTCGGACAGCAGTGACACCTTGGTCTGAGAGGCCGATCTGAATATCGGATTCGTCCTCAGACATCAAATCGATTTCAGATATCACACCACGTGATGAGTTCAAACTTGTGTGTGGTGTGATGGTGACTTGTATGTCTCCTAGAGATTTTGTCTTCATAAGCTTTTCAGACTGTTGAGGGGAGGCTGCCTCAATGAGCAGGTCTCCTGATCTCAACTTTTAGATTTTTTTAAGATGCCCAATGGTAGATTCAAAAAGTTTCTGAATCAAAAAGGGGGAACGTTTAGAAAGAGTTGTTTCTCCCATAGCATGCACGATGAGATAGGCTGGTTGGTTGGAAAAACTGTCCTCCTTTGGTGGTGGTGCATTGGTAGATGATTTTTTTAGTTTTAATGAATCCATATTTAAAAATATGTATTCAGCTCCTAGTGACCCCACCCATCACGGAGCCCAACAAGAAGATGCCGTCACATGAGAGATTTCCATAGACTGTCGCACCAGGGTTTCCCAAGAGCTATACCCTCACAATGCAATCAAGAAGAGCACATCTTGTATGACATGTCCGCCCGGTCTGCATCGATCGGTTGACTCCAAGCCGAGGTCATGAAGGACTAACGACCAGCCGATTGACTCAAACGGAGCCTGATTTGAGCCTCCTGTTTATCCGAAGCAGGGGCCAAAGCAGTGTGTTGGGGACGTTATGTTGCCCCTCAACTACCAGGATCCCCCTTTCCGGCATACGGGGTACCACACACGGCAAACACGTGGGTGGGCGTTCAGATCCCAGGGATGGTGAAGAGGAATTTCTAGACCATCTCTGGGAGGTCCCTTCACCACGGACAGGAACCCACATCAAGGGGAAATCAAAGAGAGAGATAACCTTGTTAAAAATGCTGCCTCAAACACATAATGGATTATAAAATAATCCAATGGAACTGTCGTGGTTTCCGCAACAACTTCTCTGACATTAAACACTTGACATCATCTACCTCGTCTCTCTGTGTGGCACTCCAGGAGACTCATTTGAAACCTGGAGAAAGCGTTACTTTAAAAGGCTTCAATCTCTACCGCAAGGATGATGATAGCCACAACCGTGCCAGTGGAGGTGTGGCTATTGTTGTTTCAAATCACATCCCATCCTTGCCAGTACAAATCACCACTGATTTGCAAGCTGTAACAGCCAGAATATCTATTGGAGTAACTGTCACAGTTTGTTCTATATACTTGCTACCAGATGTCAGAGTCAATGAGAATGAACTGGATGCCTTGGTTGAACAGCTGCCAACACCATTCCTTTTACTTGGTGATTTTAATAGCCACAATCCTATGTGGGGCAGTCCAGACATTAACCGTCGAGGCATGACCATTGAAAGATTCATAGACAATCAACAACTATATTTATTTAATACAGGAGAAGTGACATAATTCCATGCCCCAACAAGAATATTCACTGCCATTGATCTTTCATTAGCAAGCCCAAAACTGTTTTCAGCATTTACATGGGAGGTTGGATGTAATCCACTCTCTAGTGACCACTTCCCAATATTTCTAAAATACCAAGGCACAGAAAGCTGTGAAACAGCCCGTCCCCCACGCTGGAAACTCGAAATGGCAGATTGGCCTGCATTCTCCTCTTTGGCTAACATCACTGAGGAAATGGTCAATACTGCTGATATCAATGACGCAGTTGAAGTTGTCACTTCCAGTATTATTCAGGCAGCCGAAAAAACATTGTGAAAGACATCAACAAGATACCCAAAGCATCCGAAACCATGGTGGAACCAGAATTGCGAGGCAGCATTTAAAGCACAAAAGAAAGCATGGGGGATTTTCAGAAGATACCCTACT